GTGATGGGTTTCTATGGATTCCCGAAAACCATCGTCTCTGACAGGGATGTTTGGTTCACTCGTCGACAATGACAAAAGTTGATGGAAGTCTATGAAACCAGGTTGACCATGTCTTCAGGTAGACATCCTGAAACGAATGGCCAAACTGAACAAATATAATCTTATGTGTTGCACATATATGTCCGACCCGATCAGATAGATTGGGATGAGAACTTATCTAAAATTGCTCGTGCTTATAATACCATATACATATTGCTATAGGAAAAACGTCGAATGCACTACAAAAAGGTTGGAAGCCTTGGCGTCCCATTGATGTTTTAATTCGGGACCAAATTCAGAGGTTACCCTTAGAAACCCGTAAATTTGCAGTTTTGTATGAAGGAGATATTAAAAATGTAAAAGAAAATATACAGAAAACCCAACTTCAGATGATTGAGCTGTCCAACAAACATAGTCAGCCATCGCAGTTTCAAGAAGGAGATCCGGTATGGGTAAAGTCTAAAAAATTTGCCTTGGAAGAAAACGTGTCTAAAAAACAATTGCCTGTCTACTATGGTCTCTGGGAAGTTCTTGAGGTGATTGGGGATGCAGATGGACCTTCCTATTGAATAGATGTACCCCCACACCCATGGACCAATCATGTTTTTCATGTGTCTAAACTGCTAACATATGTAGAAGGAGATAACTTTCCTAATAGGTCGTCTAAGTTTCCACCCTCAATGAATGGAGAATATGAATTGAGAAGAATCAGAAGATTTTGGAACATGGCTATTTCTTTACAAGTGGCAGAGGAAGACCACAAAAGCAGTATAAGGTATAGTTCAAGTCTCAACCTCCGCCTGAAGGCAGATGGTTTAGTAAGAAAGAATTATTACCTAGTGCTCTTGATGTTGTTGCTGCATACGAACGTGGGTTGAAAGGAAATTGATGTCTTTTCGGTGATGGAACTCGAAAATTGGGGCGCCAGGAATGCAATAACCTACGTCGTATGTCTCGTAGATTTTCTGCGGGCCTTACCAGGCTGTACTGAGACCCAGGCCGAAAGGGGGGGGAAAAAAAACCACGTAAAAATTTAGGGTCTGAACGTGTGAGTCGGTGTGACAGTTGAGCAAGTTAACTGTCGGACATCGAACAATCAAAGTCAAAGTGTACCCAGCCCATGCTGCCGGTCAGATGCACACACTTGTTTGTATCATTGAATGCAGGTACCCAGACAGCATCAGGACCAAGGACAAATCTGCAATTGTACAATCCAGGCCGTCGGTTGTGAGTCAATCTGCAGGACTGTGGAAAAGGGATCTGAGGCCAGACAGCCTCGCCAAATGCTACATAAGGCTGGGTCTCAGGGTGGTCAACATTCAGTCTTGCTGTGCTGCTTTGACGTTGGGTCGGCTCTGACTTGATATTGGCATTGACGCTGGCTCGACGGTGGCTCAATGCTGGCGATTACGCTGACTGTGCACAGGCACTGTGGACGATGACGCTGGACTGTGGCAGCATGCTGGCGCTTTCTGTTCTGAGCGTCAGGCATTGCTGATGTTGCGCTGCCACCTGTCTACACTGCTGGCATAACACATGCCATTTGTCTACATTGCTGATGTGGCGCATGCCACTTGTTTGCATTATTGATGTGGCGCTGCCATCTGACTACATTGCGTTGCTGATGTGGCGTTGCCACATGTCTTCGTTGTTGGTGTGGCGCATGCCACTTGTCTCTATTGCTTATGTGGCATATGCCACGCTGTCCACATGTGGTGACTGGTTGCGACAAGGAGGGGGATCGGGATCTGTGGATAATTGGGATCCGGTACTTACCTGAGGTTGACCTCGTTACCGTATGTTGTTGTTGTCTTGATGATCGCCACGAGAAAATAGTGCCGCGTGGCACTTGTGTGTGATCAGAACTTATCAGACTTGTATCGTATATTGGTTGATGATGTGGAGGCGAGAGGAAGCCCGGAGAAGAAGAGGGGTTTGACTGGGCTACTCTTGTGTGCTCATTGATTATCTCTTCCACTTTCTCCTCTGTATATTATCCCTCCACTCTCTTCGTCTTTGGTAACGAGATATTGTCTCAGAGATCACTTCACGTTAACTCGAGACATTGTGCAGATCTGAGTCTACTTGTGCCTCGACGTCTGTTGAGTATCCTCCAGTCTGGGTTCCTTACAAACTGATCAGAACAGATACTACTCTTGATCTTAGCCAAAAGGCCGAGAAAGGTTTTTTCTTCGGGCCGGTGGAATAGCACTGGCCCACAATGTTTGTCTCGTTGTGTGCGCTTTGTGTGCCGAAAAACAAACGAGAGAGAAAGAAAAAAAAAAAAGGCCCGTCCCAGGCCTGAATGGGTCCTGCTGGAGGGGGAGAAGGCTGCACATCCTCAGGCCTTGCTGTTGCTGTCTCAGATCAATGTCGACACTTATCTGGGACAGCAACAGAAAGTTCTGCTGGTCATCTGTTGCTGTCAACAGATGTGTGCGTGAGAGAGAGAGAGAGAGAGAGAGAGAGAGAGAGAGAGAGAGATCAGCCTTGGACACTAGGCCCTTTAAAAAAAAACAAAAAAAGAAAAAAGAAAAAAAAAACGAAGATGACCTTTCGAACTCTTCTCCTCAAACTTACTAAGCCCCTGATGAGAAAAAATAAAATAAAAATAAAATAAAAATAAAAAAAATTGCCCCACCCTTTCAACTGTGATGCCCCCAACGCAACCACTACAGTGCAGATGTGCTCCTATGTAGCAGACTGCTTCAAAGATATTCTCACCACTCGTAGACCCAAGGAATCCTTCGGAACAGACCTCTCAGCACATTCCGAGTTTTGGAACAGCTCAAGGATAAAACTGTCAACGCAAGCCAGAGTGGACTTGGACAAGCTTCTTAGCCTTGACGAACTAACACATGCAGCAAGTCAGATGGTACACGGAAAATGCCCTGGACTTGACGGGCTGCCTGTGGAACTCTTTATTGCTACTTGGGACTCCACGGGTCCCTTCCTACTACAGGTCTACAACGACATCATACTTGAGGGGAAAAAACTACCAATAGGATGGGTTAAAGGAGTGATCACTTTGAGAAAAAATGAAAACATAAAAATCTTCTGCAAGTCCGGGGTCCTCACAGTCTACGGAAGGCCAAGTCCCACTACGCAGCAGCATTGAGTTTCCTCAACGACTGAATCTGTGCGTCTTTGGGGAGATGTGCACCGATCACTTTTTTTTTTTTTTTTTTTTTTTTTTTTTTTATAAAGGTAAGCTATATTGTTCTCTCATCTATCTCATTTTTCTTGATAGTACGCATCTATCTCATCCTCTCACTATTCTATACATAGTATGGGGGAACACCAACCAACCCGGATCCCTCCCCAGCCCACAGGGTAGGTTGGCACCACAGCTGTGGTGGGAGGGCAAGGCTGTACCAGTCCCTCATCACGGTGACGAGGGGTGGGCAGGCATTGCCGATGGGGGAAATAGGCGGTGCTAGCACCGAGCAATGGCCAGTCACTGCACCTCCTCCTACCCCCCCCAACCCCACATGGCGGTGTCTAATGGCCAATATTGTCGCTGCATAGCAGCCAACAACGTCAGCCAAGGTCCTGCCAACGCTGGCTTCGGGGGCCGACAGGTTATCTCTAGCTGACAGGTTATCTCTAGCTGGTAGAACACCAAGCTTGCCCGAATGGGGATTGAACCCACGACCTCCTGAATGCAACTTCTGTGCCTTACCAACTGAGCTAGGCCCATCACTTCGAGTTTCCTCACATCTTCACAAACACTTACAGGTTGCAGAAGTTGAGGAAACTCAACGCTGCTAGTGGGACTTCATCCCCCGGAGTGAGAATCTATGGGAGTCTTACCCATCTTCGCCTTTTACGGGACCAGTGAGATGCAGCGTAGGACGTAGGACAGTACCAGTTTTTTTTTTTTTTTTTTTTTTTTTAAACCTGTTTATAGTATGATTAGCTATGGATTGAAGGATAGGCTTTGAGCGGCAGTAGTTCTTCCTTGTCCCTTCGATCGTGCTATCCTCCAGGGTCGGATCACACCAGGATATCCACGACAGCAATCTGACAAAGGATACTGGTACATTCGGCGGTAACTGACGAAAACCAGCCTCCTCCGAGCACAACGCACCCCCGTTATGGCTGTACCGGACCGGAAAAACGGGTTGTGTACGTTCATTATCGGGGTACGTTATATTCGGGGGAAAACCGTAGCGTGAGGATATCGCGCGGAAGTCCGAGATGGCGGGTTGTTTGCAGCGCCTAGGGACGAGTGGTATGTGAAAACACGAAGAGTGGTCGGTAATTTCTGTGTGTCCGCATTTTCAAATTTTCGGCGGGACCCAAGAGCCTAGCTCAGTGGGTACACCCATGAACTGTTGAAATACAGACCTGTGTTCGCATCCAGATGATGGAACGTGACGAGTAAAACCAACTACTAACGAATTGCTTCGGCCCGCGGTCAGCTTAATGATAATATCTCAAGGCCGTCGCCCTTTTAAAAAATAAAATAAAATAAAAAATTCGGCGGGAACATTTTTTTTAATCGAACTGAAGCCACAGGTAGCTGTCTTCCCGCGCGGCGCGCGCCGTGTTGTCCTCGGCGGTTGGAGGAGTGATGAAGGCCGATGACGGCGAGATCAGAACTCGCCAGAGGCGGTCGCACAGGCACGGTGTCTTGAGCTCGTCATTTTGAGTCCGTCCCACGCTCTGCCTTCGACTCGCTGTCCGTCCCACGCTCTGCCTTCGACTCGCTGTCGGTATAAATAGACCACTTCGATCTCATGTGTCCAGAGTACGCTCTTCGTCCCCTTAAGAGTCCCGCTCACCACTCGGAACGAGCATCGAATGATCGCAGCTTACTCGCCCTGCTCTCCGTTACCGCATCCTTGAGTTGTGCGGAGAGATGTCATATTTATCGCTATTTATAAACTATGTGCCTTCAGGCTGTCATTTTAACGGAGCGTTTAAGGGTTAGCTCTGTGAGCTGCTATAGAGTTGACTCGGATGTAGAAGAGCAGTTTCGTACTGAACGCTGCTGCTGCGACACTGGCGCTAGGTAGCCGCTTTCTACGCGATTGACATCAAATCGGCAGACACTTTTGCCGCTACCTCCGTTGGCTCTCGAGGGGAGAGCTCCCGCTCCAACATCCAGGGAGGAAACTCTCTGGAGATTTGCTGGAAGTGTTGTGTGCGTACTGAAATCTGCGTTCAGTCTACGGACTGAAGTTATAGCGAGAATTTTCGACTGGTAGAGACGAATCAGACGATTCCTCCGCGAGCCAGTTCACGTCTGTAGGGTGATCTTTCTTTCCCGCGAACCTACTGCCTTAGTGTCATCATGTCGCCATTAACTCCTCGATCTCCGCGCTGCTGCTCGTCTTTTTCTTCTTCTTCGTCTTCTTCGTCTCGAGTAACCCGTGCTGACGATGTAGCAAGGTTATCTTGCACGTACTCTCCGGGCTGGGCTTCTTCATCTCCTTCGCTTCCAGCATCTGCGACGAGAAGCCCGTGCAGCAGCTCTACCGATTTCTCCACTATCGCTAGCGTCAAAGCTGCAAGGCGTCTGTCAGCGATTGCTGGGAGCCGAGACGAGTCCCTAGGTTCTCCGGAAATTCCGGTGAAAACGATGGAGAAAGCTAGCGATCATGTGACGGGAAGTACATCGAATGAGTGCACGGCGGACGGCAGCTGCAAGCAGCCGCAGGTTTGCTGCCCATCCAACGAAGATGGGGACAAGCTGATTGCGACAAGGGGACAGGCATTGGACGCGTACGCAGGAGGAGAAGAGTCGCAGGGAGATGCGCACGGCAGAAGACAACTCACAGAAGACAATTTCAAGGGAGAGGCTGATGCTTCGGCATTGAGACAGTGTGACGCCGAGAACCAGCGGGTGAACTCTGACGTCTGGCTGAGCATCATCAGTTTCTTGAAAGCCAAGGAAGTTGTCACGGTGGCCATGCTCAATCATGAGTTCAACTTGCTGGCTATGGAGGAAGAGGTTTGGCGGTGTGTGTGCGAGCGGCAGCTGGGTATCGTCATCCCCGGAGGGCTGTCGAAGCCCAGTCTAAGCTGGCGCGCTCTCTTCCGGTCCGTCACTGATGGGAGGCATTCGTTCAAGTATCAGCAGCAGGATAAGCATCTGGATTGGATGAGGCTCGGCGTTTTCGAGGTACGCTCTGGGATGGTCATTGCGACGGACACTCTTCGAGCGGACAACAAGGGAAAGCAAGGTCATTGTGAAGACGGGGCAGTGAACTCAGCGAAGGCCAGCCGTTCGGATCCATCTTCCTCTCTACCGGCCTTCTCCTCTTCCGCTCCTTCCTCCTCCTCGGAAGTGGATGCCTATCGTGTTTCGAGAGAGGACGGGTTTTCGCAGGCGATTGGGAACGTGCGACGAGGAAGTTGGATAGCAGACATGCATCTGTTGCGCTGTCCTCTTTGCGACTCGCCCACCTGCGAAGGAACTATGCAAGCTCTGGACGCATGGCATTCCGAGCTGTTTCTTCATGATGAGGCCGTCAACAAGAAATGGAGTTACGAGGAGCTGTCAGCGAGAAACCGCACCGACGACGTCCCCGCAGCGGTGGCGGCGATTTTCGACGCGGAGGAGTTCAACCAACCCACCACGAGGTGCAGCAACGAAATGCTCAACCTGAAGGCATGGGCAGGTCCAGTGGGAGACTGGCAACCTCGGGGAAGGGTGTCCTCGTTCGCAGCCGCCGTCTGTACCAACCTTCAGGAGAATGCCGGGATGAACGTCAAGTGCTATGCCATGCGTGCAGGGGATCGCGGCCCTGTGATGGGCATTCGCATCACCCAGCAACTCAATTAGATCCTCTTAACACACATGCGGTTTGTGAGGGATCTGCGACCTCGGCAGTTTCTGGAAGTGACGAGCTGACGCTGCGACGTTTGGCACTCGTTCCAGAATCTCGATTGACCAATCTCGGGGATAAATTGGTAAGGCGTGGGTGAAGTTGACGGCGCTGACGTTGCGACGTACGGCAGTTCGTTGCAGAACCCGAATCGACCAATCTGGCTTGGCGGAAGTTGCGTAAGTTGAACTGGTGCTTTGGATTCTCGACGATGGTTTGGAGATGGTTGTGTTGAGGGCTCGTTGCGTGTTATTTCAGCTCGTACTTGGCGAAGGGATCATTAATTTTTTTAATTGGCAGTTGCTGGGCGGAAGTGCTGGGGTTGCAACGTACGGCACTCTTTGCGGAATCTGAATGGAGTCAATGGACCTGTTTCTGGCTTGGCTAACGTTGCGGGTCGCCAACGGCTGGCAAGGCTGACTTTGCGTATTACGAAACCGTGTACCTGCGTCGCCACGTCAGCTCCTTACATGGCGGACTTTGCCTATTCTCAAATGGTATGCCTACGTTGCAGGGAGAGGCGCCAAGTCAAGTTGAAGAAGCCTTCGGTCGAGTTGAAGGTCGACTAGTCCTTAGCTCTGGAACGACTGCCGTTCATCGCCGCCGCGTCGGCTCTTCCGCTTTTTAGCTATGCACCCAGGCCGTCATGTCATCTCTTCAGCTCTGCAATGCGTCCGCTACATGGCCAGTTCAGCATTTCAGCCGTACGCGTTGCAAACCTGAAGAGATGACATGCCAGCCTCGTTGCATTGGTCAAGAGCGGAAGAGCTGACGCGGCGGCGATGTATGGCATTCGTTGCAGAAATTCGGACTCGGGCCACTCGGCAGTCTTCAACTTGGTCGAGATTCGGCTCATCCGCGATGTGGCAGCACCGCGCGCGCATTCTGAGATTGTCGTTTGCATGGTCAGGGATGCGGTGGACTTGGACCTCTTGAGGGCAAGATGATGGTGAGATTCGACTCATTCGAGCTCTGACCTGGTACCTCAATCTGAAGATTTAAATGCGGACCTTGTTGCTGTAGCGCTGAGGATCGCCCGTTTGCGGACACGTGGCGCTGACCTTGCTAGCTACTAATGGAAACGGAGTTCGAATCCGTTCGGGTTCCCTGCAGCCCTTCAAACACAGGCTCATGATGCCAACTCAACGACTTAGAAGTAGGTTCAGCTAGGTTGAAAAACGTTGACGGTCTGTTAACTTCTGAGCTGCTTCTGACAACCCGACCCTTATCGTGGAAGTCCTGACGTCAGTCTGGTCATCTTCGACTTTTGCCGTTTTAGAACTAAGTGTTTTTTTGCTGATGCGGTAAGTTTCTGACGTGGTTCCGCTTAGAGAACACTCACACCGGGAGTTTTCGAAGGGAATCTGGCGGGAATTGCGATCAAATGCATCGCACTGACGTCAGAGTGGTCATCTTTGACATTTGGCGTTTTACAACTGACTGCTTTTTCTTTGACACCGTAAGTTTCTGCCGTGGTTCTACTTAGTGTACACTCACACCGGAAGTTTTTGAAGGGAATTTGGCCGTAATTGCGATCAAATGCATCGCACTGATGTCAGGGTGGTCATCTATGACTTTTGGTGTTCTAGAGTTGACTGTTCCATCCGCTAATCAGGTACGTTTCTGACTGTGGTTTTGCTTAGCGTGTATTCACACCGTTTTTTTTTTTTAAAAAGAGAAGCTGTCTGTAATTGCTATCAAATGCATCCCACTGACATCGGAGTGGTCATCTATGACTTTGGGCGTTTTAGAACTGACTGTTTTTTCCGCGGATACGATAAGTTTCTGACCGACGTTTTGCTTAGCGTATACTAATTGCTCACACCGGGAGTTTTCAAAGAGAATCTGGCGGTAATTACGATGAAATCCACGCCACGGACAATTTCGTGTGTCGATCGAGAAGTGGATCGTCCAATTAGAACTTCGGGATTATCAAGGGCACGTTCTCACGAGGGCATCTTTCTAGATGCATCTGACTGCAATTACGGCCAGATTGTGCACTGAGTAGGAACGTCAGAAACTAACCGTATCGGTAGCATAGAATTGTCAAACCGGGAGAAATGCAAGAAATTATTCTCGACCCATCTGTTCGTACACTTTCATTCGTAGTTCTCCTGATTCCAAGCATGCGGACCTTGGCACGCAGTGCCCACAGTGCCACCCAGTGTCACACAGTGCACCATATTGGCTTCCAAGCATCGGAATCAATATCTTTATGCTCCCCCCCCCCCCGGCCTATCTGGCATGAGATTACCGTCTTCACCCGAGTAGAACTCCTGGTCATTATCCTTGCATCTAGGCTGAAAGTTGCACCAAATACAGCGTTAATGACCGGGCGGTCGCTCTATGCGGGTAAAAAGACGGGCGTTTTGACTTGCTTTGCGAGTCGATCGAGGTCGTCTTTCGGTTTCTGTCATTCTTTTTTGTACGCCTTTTCATCTGCAGGTTCGATCAAGTTGAAGTCAACATATTTATCGCAATGACTAACTCGGTCGTCCCCCTCCCCCCTTTCTTCTCGAACTCGTAGTGAAGTCAACATATTTATCGCAATGACTAACTCGGTCCTCCCCCCCCTTTTTTCTTTTTTTTTTGTTACTTGAGTGGCGGTTTTATATTTTTGTTTCGTAAAGATTTTTCTTAAATTGTGAACGCTGAAGTTGAAGTGAACATGATAATCGCAATGGCTAACGCGGTCTCCCCCCCCGCTCTCAAACTCGTAGTAGTTCAAGAGCTCTGTTTTCTGCCGCTACGCTTAACCTCGCACTTCGATGAGTTGAGTGGCGGCTTCATCTTTTTGTTTCTTGAAGGTTTTTTTTTTCAATTGTAAGCGCTGGTCTTCGCTTCTTAAACTTTGAACGCTGGTCTTCGCCACTTGGCGTACTGTCGACATTTGTGCTTTTTTTTTTTTTTTTTTTTCCAAGAACCGCTTTGATCACCACGTTTCTTACGAGCATCGATTTGATCCTTATTTAACTCCGCACGGCGCATGCCATGTTTGTCCATTTATCCTTTATGAATTTGACTTTCATGAACGATTATGTTTGTCCATTTATCCTTTATGAATTTGACTTTCATGAACGATTATGTTTGTCCATTTATCCTTTATGAATTTGACTTTCATGAACGATTAGTCCTACTCGAATCGACCAGCAGCGTTCCTTTTTTTTTTTTTTGCCTTTTTCTTTTGGCGCTTTGAGAATTAAACCGTAAGCGATCCTTTGGTTTGCTCCGAGCCGCGTTGCCTATTTATGCAACGGGACGTGTTATGGTTTTATCCATCCTTTGAATTTGCCTGCGTTCATATCCATCCTTATTTATGAATGTGACGGTGTTTACGGCGAAATTCATCCTCACGACCTTGACTTTGTTTATGATAAGTGTATCTCCGTCCATTCTACTATTTTTTTAATCATCGCGAGCCCAATTTATCCAGTCCTCCGTCCATCCTCGCTATTTTTTTTTATCATCGCGAGCCCAATATATCCAGTACGACAATTTATGAATTCCCCATCCTTGACTTGATTGTTTCCTTATTTCATGTCCGTACCTCCTTATCCATTTCACTTTACTGTTAATGATTAGTTTCCGACTTTTTTTTTTTTCTTTTTTTTTTTTTGAGCTGACAGTGAATTGGGTCTTCATTTGGCCAGGTTGTCCCGATTACGCGATTTGCCATGACAGTGAATTGGGTCTTCATTTGGCCAGGTTGTCCCGATTACGCGATTTGCCATTCCTCTAACCTCAAGCGAAGACAGAAAGGGCAAAAGAGGGGGGATGACAAACGCCTAAGGTGACCGGCAGCCCAGATAGCTGAGTAGTGCGCATCTCGTCATCCGAAAGGGCAATTTCTTTTTTTCTTTTTTTTTTTGAAAAACACCGAAGCCCCATCTATTCTGGGGGGCAGCAGTCCGGTTGCTCATCACCGGCAAGCATGAGGGAACAAGGGGGAGGAAGGGGGAGAAGAAGGGGGAAGACCTTACCCTTGTGGCACGAGACGTCAGCTACTGTTAATGATTAGTTTCCGACTTGATTTATGAGTGGTCGACGCCTCTAACCTAGTGAGCAGATGAGGAGTTCAGAACCGGATGGAATCACAGTCATTGGATGGGGTGAAGTTTAGGGCCAAAGGCGTGAATAGGGGATGCGGGAGAGGGTAACAGCCTCCTCGACTTCCGGACAGCACTCTGCACAGGGGGGAGGCCAGAACCCTCCAGCGGTTGCGACTGCTGAGGGTTTTTGTTTTGCGTCAGGTTCGTCTTTAGTGTTATTGCATTGCGCTGTTGCAGTGCAGCTGTCCGCTGTGTTTACTTGCTCATGAAATCTTCAGCGCTTGGTTCGACGTGTCGTTCAGAAGGCCATTTCTCGATGAATTTTATGCGCGTCATCCTTGCGCAGCGGCCATGTTAATCTTCTCTGTATCGTTCCAAGTAGAACGAATGTCCCGAAGGACTTGCTTCAGAATGCCTGATAGTGCTGACTGGCAATTTTGGTTTGACAAGTTTTGGGGGAGCTACTGAGGAGCGTTTCATGCAGGGAAAGTAGTGGATCCCCCCGGCGCGAAGACCTCTGTTTTCCAAATTCGGAAGCATAGGACTTAAGTGGAGAGGCAATCAGATCGGATTTGTATATGATGATTCTGATGATTCTCTGTTTTCACTCTCGGGCCTCTGTTTTTCAAATTGGGAAGCTTAGGACTATTTTCAGATGGGATCTGTATATGATTCTGATGATCTTCTTATGTTCTTACTCTTCGACATCTGCCAGGATTCGCTAAATGCTTTTGGGAAAAGTAAGAGACCCCCCCGCGGCAAAACCCTTGTAAGTGCCTCGCCTCACCGCTGTCGAAACAAAAAAAAATACGAGTGCATCTGCCCTCAGCGAATGGCAAGATGCATCCGTTACTATGAATAGCAACGGATGCACCTTACCAATTTCTATGTGGAAGATGCATTCCTTCTCTTTTCGTGTGTACAGTGGTGTGGCGAGGCCCTAAGCCTTTGTATTTTAAGAAGGCTTTGCCGCGGGAGAGGTCTACTGACTCTGCTCTTTCCTGAAATGATTCTCGGTCTCTGATCCATCCTATCTCCACTGTGAGC